ACTTTTTGGTATATATGTATATTCTACTGAAAGGTTGAGAAAAATTTGGTTAAATTATGGTAAAGTAAAGGAACCAAGATCTCAGAACCATTAGAATGGACATCATCCTTTGTTGGTAAGAGCAGGGTCAGTGAAGATAGAGGAGGGAGAACCATCTGGTGCCTTATGCTGGTCACTGTGCTGGGTGCTTTCCATTGGTCGTCTCATTTGATTCCTTCAACTTCTCTTTGAAGTAGGCAGCATGCCCATTTTACAGATGGCAAAGCCACGGCTCAAAGAGCTTAAGTTACCTGTCCAAGGTCACAGAGCTATTGAGAGTCACAGCCAGGATTTAAACACAGGATGGGGTTAATTCCGAAGTCCACATTCATGTAATGAGGATTACTGGTTAATCCTTTGTTGCTGCATTGAGGAATTTTGACCCAAACTTGATCTCACATTTGTAGCTTCAAGAATAACCCATTCTACACAGAGATACTTCCATGAGAAAATCAGCCACTGAAACTGGTTGTGCTTACCTTGTTAGACAAATTGTCAGAGTGGTCCTGACCTGGGGAAACAAAAGAAGAGTTCCCAATCCATGAAAATGCAAAGCTCATTTATGGCCTTAGAATGGGGGTTGGGGGGTGAGAGCAAGGGTGGGGAGGTGGGTCCTAAACTGCTGTGGTTTCTAGCTGAAGAAGGTGGCAGTTGGCGGGAGGGTGGGGTAAGGAAGTGGCCTATGAATGCTTGAGGAATTCACTTTCCTCAGAGTTGGGGTCCAGATCCAGGGCATTGGTACCAGAGGAGGGGTAAGAGTAGAGCCACAGGAGACCTCAGTCCACTTCTGACAATTTCTTCCAGTTCACAAGGTCTTGATTTTCACCCAGATGTACTTCTCAGCAACAGGCTTCAGTGGCAAGGAGGGACATTGAGGCCCACAGTACCCAGAGCACCACAAGACAGGGAAAGTCTCACCAAAGGAGAATGCCCACATCCATCATAGAGGCAGGAAGGGGAGGAGTACAGGCAAGGAAATGACTCCTGGAAACAGGTCCATCTCGCTCAGGCCTGCTTGGCCCAGGCAGTGAATGTTTCTCCCAGGGCTGTGTCTCAGGGGAATTTTTTGTGGCTAGAAGGGTGTGAGGACCTATGCCAACCTAAGGTTGGGAAATGGAGATCCCCTTCCAAAAATTCAGAAGGTAGGAAGTAGTTTGGGATTCCAGGATTCCCTGCTAGGGCAGGGCACATGGTGGAACACACCAGGTCTCACTGGGTGAGTGGCTTTACTTACTGTGGTTGGAGGCTGAGGGTTTGTGCTCTGTGACATCACGCAGGTCACTTGCCCTAAATAAATATCAGACACTGTGACTGCCATTCCCAAGCATAGGATCTTTGCTCCTTGAATTAGGAAGGACATTGTCAGCAGGTAATTCCTTGGGGTTCTTCAGTGTTCATTTATACCATGATTGGTACTGCCTTTCCTCTTAGGGCCTCCTCCTTCAGTTTACCCACAATTTCCTCTAGGATTTGTTCCTTTCCTGTTTGCTGGATGTCCACATGTGGGTCCATTGTTTATCAGTTGCATCTGAGCCTACTTGTACCCTGACACCTTTCCCCTTCTGTAGGTAGATGCTGGTTTTTGTCTCACTTTTCTTATTGTCCAAGAGGCTTTGGTTGTTTTTGCCTTTTCTTAGGTTCTCTTCCTCTCCTATCCCTCCCTCCTACGACTGTCAAAAGAGCACGCGAGACTCACTTTCTCCTGCTCCTCCTTTCATTTCCTCATTTTTTTCCTTCTGGGACCTTGTCTTCCCTGACTGGGAGACAGAAACATAGTGGGATGGGAATGACTGTGTCCAAGAGAGAGTGGGGTCCAGGAAGCATGAAGGGATCCACACGAATTAGTGCTGAGAAGCAAGAGTTTAGAAAGAAGGAGGAGCAGATCCAGGTGCAGAGACAGGGGCCAAGTCTCCTTCCCTCTCCCAAGCATGGCAGTTAGCCTTGGAGAAAGCGGAGCAAGAGGAAAGGTCATCATACCCGCCACTCTTTCTGATAAACAGAAAGTACACCAGGGCTGCTATCACAACAACCCCAGCCAGGACTCCAATCACGATGCCCGCAATAGCCCCAGGTGGAAGGCCAGAATTTGGTTGCGTGAAACCACCTGTCATGGAAAGAAGAGAGAAGAATGAATGAAGGTGACATTATTTTACAGTGGGGGTCCCCTGGAGGACAACTCTCAACGTGTAGTAGTCTCTACTTGTTCCTTCAAGGAATACATTTTCTGTGGGAAGGTTGCTGTGAGGTGATTAGCTGACTTCATCCTTCAATTTTTTTCTCTCACTGTATTTTGAGGCTGATGATCAGACTTGCCTCAATTCTATCCTGGCCTTTCTGCACTCAGATATTTTTGAAGGCTTTGGAAATGTGAGAAAGGCTGATTGCTGTTTTTCTATAGCTTCCCACCTTTTCAGGGTTGCATGTTTTTCTGTGTGCCAGCCGTGGCAGCCATGAATATGTGCCTCTCAGGTCTCTTGTGGTGAGGACTTAAGTGATGGAAGGCCTGGAGAGTGCATTCTGAATTCACCATCTCCTTTGCACAGAGACCACACTTCCCACAGAAGGGGGAAGGGATATGAAATAAGCCCAATTCTATGAGAAACCGTTTTCCTCTTAAGGGTGACTTGAGCTCAAGGACCCCTCCCCCCATCACCTTGCAGACAGACACCCTTGTAGAACTGCACTTCTATCTAAAACTTTCTTCTGTCACATCTGCACGACAGTCTGAGGAACCTCCCAGGCTCCTCCCACTCCTGTCTTACCCTCACAGACATTTTTCTCAATAAATAAATAAAGATTTTTCCCAATAAATATAAATAAATAAGTAATCCCACTTTGGCTGCATCTCGGGGGATAAACACTAACATACTAGGCTTGAAACTTTGCATTCGACTCCTTTTTTTCCTTTCCCATGTTCAGTCAGTAACTATGTCCCAATGACTAATACCATTTGCATCTGTTTCTTCTTTTTTATTTCTATTGCCCTTACCAGCCAACTCAAGCCTGATGTATTAATATTTTTTTAAAAGATTTATTTATTTATTTGAGAGAGAAAGAATGAGACAGAGAGAGCATGAGAGGTGGGGAGGATCAGAGGGAGAAGCAGACTCCCCGCCGAGCAGGGAGTCCGATGCAGGACTCGATCCCAGGACTCCAGGATCATGACCTGAGCTGAAGGCAGTCGCTTAACCAATGAGCTGAAGGCAGTCGCTTAACCAACTGAGCCACCCAGGCACCCGAAGCCTGATGTATTAATATTAATGTTAGCTACTATTATGGTGTACTTAGTATGTACCAGGCTCTGTGGTAAATACATATATCTCATTTGATCCATATAATAACGCTTTCAGATAGACATTATTTCCAGATGAAAACACTGTGGCTTAGAGTAGTGAACAATTTACCCAAAGTCATATGGCCAGTAAAAGGTGGATCTAGGATTTGACTCTAGGACTACGTGACTTCATAGAAGCTAATGATAATAGTAGTAGTAATAGCAGCTAACACTTATGGAACATTTTCTCTGTGTGTAAAATTTTGCTAAGGGTTTAATTGATTATTACATTAAATCTTCCCATGAAGCAGGTACTTATTACAATTTTCTTTTCTTTTTAAGATTTATTTATTTGAGAGAGAGAGAGAGTGAGAGAGAGAGAGATCACGAGCATGGAGCCTAACGCGGGACTCCATCCCAGGACGCTGGGATCATGACTTGAGATGTTTAACTGAATGAGCCACCCAGGTGCCCTCTTATTACAATTTCCAGTTGAGGAATATGAGGCTCAGAGAAGTTAAGAATCTTGTGCAAGAAATCTGTAATTGTAGGGGCACCTGGGTGGCTCAGTCGTCAAGTGTCTGCCTTCAGCTCATGTTATGATCCCAGGGTCCTGGGATTGAGCCCTGCATCGGGCTCCCTGCTCAGCGGGAAGCCTGTTTCTCCCTCTCCCGCTCCCCCTGCTTGTGTTCCCTCTCTCGCTGTGTCTTTCTCTCTCTCTGTGTGTCAAGTAAATAAATAAAATCTTTAAAAAAAAATCTGTAATTGTAAACACTTACATTAAAGAAGATCTCAAATCAATAACCTAACTTTGTAAGGAACTGGAAAAAGAAAAAGAAACTAAACCCAAAGTTAGCAGAAGGAAGAGAATAATAAGGATTAGAGTGGGGATAAATAAAATAGTGAGTAGAAAACAATAGAGAAAATCTATGAAACCAAAAATTGATTCTTACAAAAAGATGAATAAAATTGACAAAACTTTAACTTAAAAAAAAAGATTAAAATTACTAAAATCAGAATTGAAAGTGGGGGAAATCACTATCAACTTTATAGAAATAATTATTATAAAATAATAAATATTATAAAAGTACTGTGAATAATTGTATGCGAACAAATTGGATAACCTGGTAAAATGGACAAATTCCTAGAAACACAAAACCGACCAAGATGGAATCATGAAGAAAGAGAAAATATGAAAAAATCTGTAACTAGTAAGGAGATTGAATCAGTAAGAGCATTCAACAAAATTCAATATCCTTTCATGATAAAAACCCTAAAAGTAGTAATAGAAGGAAACTGCTTCAATATGATAATGGCCATAGATGAAAAACCCACAGCCAACATCTTACTCAATGTTGAAAGACTCAAATTTTTCCTCTAAGATCAGGAACAAGACAGGGATGCCTGTTTTTGTCACTTTTATCCAAAATAGCTTTGGAAGTCCTAGCCAGAGCAATAATTAGGCAAGAAAAAGAAATAAAAGGCATTCATATTGGAAAGAAGTATAAAATGATCTTTGTTCACAGATGACATGAACTTACACATAGAAAACACTAAAGATTCCACAAAATCTGTTATAACTAATAAACAAATTCAGAAAAACTGCAAGATACTAAATCAACATACAAAAATCAGTTGTATTTCTATACACTAACAATGAATAATCCAAAAAGGAAATTAAGAAAATTCTATTTACCACAGCATCAAAAATAATAAAATACTTAAGAACTAATTTAACCAAGGAGGTGAAAGATGTATACACTGAAAACTACAAAGCATTGCTGAAAGAAATTAAAGACATAAATAAATGGGAAGACATTCCATGCTAATGGATTAGAAGACTTAAGATGACAGTACTACCCAAAATGATCTGCAGATTCAGTGCAATCCTGATCAAAATCCCAATGACATTTTTTTTTTTGCAGAAATAGAGAAATCTATCCTAAAATTCGTATGGAATTTCAAGGGACCCCAAATATCCAAAACAATCTTACAAAAGAACAAAGTTGGAGGACTCACGTTTCCTGATTTCAAAATTTACGGCAAAGCTGTAGTAATCAAAACAGTGTGGTACTAGCATAAAGACAAACAAACAGACCAATAAAACAGAATAGAGATCCCAGAAATAAAACCTTACATACACAGTCACACCATTTTTGACAAGGGTGCCAAGGCCATTCAATGGAGAAAAGTCTTTTCAGCAAATGAAGTTGGGAAAACTGGACACCCATGCAAAAGAACTGAACGCTTACTTAACACCATATATGAAAAATTAACTCAAAGTGGATCAGAGACCTAAATGTAAGAGTTAGAAGAAAACACAGGGTGAAACTTCATGACTTTGGATTTGGCTACGATTTCTTGGATATGAAACTAAAAACACAGGCAATAAAAGAAAAAACTAGATAAACTGGGCTTCAATTAAAATTAAAAACTTTTGTGCATCAAAGGACACTATCAACAAAATGAAAAGACAACCCACAGAGTGGGGGAAAATATTTACAAATAATGTGTCCCATAAGGGTTAATATCCGTAACAGAGAACTAAAACTCAGCAACAAAAAACCTAAGCAAAAAATGGGCAGAGGGGGCGCCTGGGTGGCTCAGTCGTTAAGCATCTGCCTTCGGCTCAGGTCATGATCCCAGGGTCCTGGGATCGAGCCCCGCATGGGGCTCCCTGCTCAGCAGGAAGCCTGCTTCTCCCTTTCCCACTCCCCCTGCTTGTGTTCCTTCTCTCACTGTGTCTCTCTCTGTCAAATAAATAAATAAAATCTTAAAAAAAAAAATGGGTAGAGGACTTGAACAGACATTTCTCCAAAGAAGACATCCACATGGCCAACAGGCACATGAAAAGATGCTCAACATCTCTCGTGATCAGGGAAATGTAGATAAAAACCACAATGAGATATCACCTCATGCCCATTAAGATGACTATTATTAAAAACAAAACGAAACAGAAAACAAGTGTTGGCGAGGATGTGGAGAAGTTGGAACTTCTTTGTATTTGCTGGTGGGACTGTAAATGGTGCAGTCACTGTGGAACTGGTACGGCCGTTCATCAAAAAATTGAACAAAGAATTACCATTTGATGCAGCAACTCCACTTCTGGGTCTATACCCCAGTGAATTGAAAGCAGCGATTTCAGTAGATATTTGTACACCCACGTTCACAGCAGCATTATTTATAGCAGCCAAGAGGTGGAAAAAACCCGAAAGTTCGTAGACAGATAAATGATAAACAGAATGTGATACATACACACGAGGGAATATTATTCAGCCTTAAAAAAGAAATGAAATTCTGACACGCACTACTATGTGGATGAACCCTGAAGACGTTGTGCTAAGTGAAAAAATCCAGACAAACAAAAAAATAAATATTGTTATGATTCCACTTAATCTTAGAATAGTCACATTCATAGAGACAGTAAGTAGGACGGTGGTTACTGGGGTTAAAATTGGGAGCAGGAAGTTACTGTTTAATGGATGGTGGTGATGGTTGCACAACAATACAGATGTACTAATGCTACTGAACTGAAAACTTAAAATGGTTAAAATGTTAAACCTTATGTATATTTTACCACATAAAAAAATGGTAACAGAGGAAAAAAGGAATCTTGTGTAAGGTCACACAGTAAGTGCCAGACCTAGGATAAGAAACTGAGTATATCTGATTCAGAGACTTAGCTCTTAACCACTCTGCCATTCTGTTTACTGAAATGGTCTCTTGATTCTATTCTGCTCTTCTGGCCTCTGTGACTTCTATCAATTTTGTGCATCATTAGTAGAGTAATCTTCCCAGGAAGATGTAACACGGGGCAAGGTGTCAGTTACCTTCCACAGCCAGTTGGACAGGGTCACTTTGGCTGGAACTGCCTGGGTTGGAGACCTCACACTGGTAATTCCCGGCATCCTCCTTCCTGACAGGGTCTATGGTGAGGGTGCTGTTGTCCTGGGACAGCTTCATCCTCTCTGTGAGCTTTAGACTCTGGCCATTGAAGAGCCACCCAATAGAGA